CACTTTTTAAAAGATGTCTTTTTATCTCTCACTGTTTCTTTTACATGGTTGTTAAGCCACGATGGCTCTTTTTTAGTTCTTCTATGTTTTTTAATTTGGGGTATACATTTAAGTTGGACCTCTATTATGGTGTCTTTGAAAAGCTTGCAGGGATTTTACTTTAGTCACTGTACCTTTTAATTTCTGTTTAACTAACCTCCTCATTTTTGCATAGTTCCTCTTTTTTGAAATTAAATGCCACAGTGCTGGGCTGTGAAGTGTTCTTCCCACCACAGGAATATTAAATGTTATTATATAATGGTGACTATTTCCAAGCAGTCCTGTTATAGTTACCTTTTGGACCAGATCCTGCACGCCACTCAGGACTAAATCAAGAATTGCCTCTCCCCTTGTGGGTTCCTGTACCAGCTGCTCCAAGAAGCAGTCGTTTAAGGTATCAAGAAATTTTGTGTCTACATCTTGTCCTGAGGTGACATGTACCCAGTCAATATGGGGATAGTTGAAATCCCCCACTATTTTTGAGTTCTTTATTTTGATAGCCTCTCTAATCTTCCTTAGCATTTCATAGTCACTATTACTATCCTGGTCAGGTGGTCGATAATAGATCCATACTATTATATTCTTATTAGAGCAGGGAATTACTATCCATAGCGATTCTATGGAACATGTTGATTCATTTAAGATTTTTACTTCATTTGATTCTAAATTTTCTTTCACATACAGTGCCACTCCCACACCCACACGACCTGTTCTGTCCTTCTGATATATTTTGTACCCCGGAACGACTGTGTCCCATTGATTGTCCTCACTCCACCAGGTTTTTGTGATGCCTATTGTATCAGTATCCTCCTTTAATACAAGGCATTCTCATTCACGCATCTTATTTTTTGACTTCTAGTATTTTTGTGTAAGTGCTTTAAAAACTTGTTACTGTTTATTTGTCTGCCCTTTTCTGATGTGTCAGATTCTTTTTTATGTGAATGTTTTTCATCTGATCTGGCCCATACTTTATCCTCTTCCATTCTTTCCTCTTGACTAAAATCTAGAGAATCTCTATCAATAGACTCTCCTCTAAGAGACGTCTCTGTCCAATCCATGTGCTCCTCTGCACCAATCGGCTTTCCTTCATCTCTTAGTTTAAAAAACTGCTCTGCGATCTTTTTAATGTTAAGTGCCTATCCCAAAAGTTTCCCCAGTTCCTTATAAAGCTAAACCCTTCCTCCCCTTACCATTGTCTCATCCATGCATTGAGACTCTGAAGCTCTGCCTGCCTACCTGGCCCTGCGTATGGAACTGGAAACATTTCTGAGAATGCCATCATAGAGGTCCTGGATTTCAGTCTCTTTCCTAGCAGCCTAAATTTGGCCTCCAGGACATCTCTGCTACCCTTCTCTATGTCATTGGTACAAATATGACAGATAACCACAAAAGGCCCATGGTAACAAATTGACATATAATAATAAGTTGAAATTAATGATATACTGACCTATAGGAAAAAAAGACACTTCACCATTAGTGAGGTGAGGAAATACAAATAAGAACAGGAAACATCCCTTCCTGAACATGCATCAGACCTAACAAAGTCAGTGTAACACATGATAAAAGTGGCATCCCAGTCCAGGGGTGGGAAGATGATGTACTCTTTGAGTGGTGCCATAAGGAAAGCCACTGGTGATGATGGGGAGGGCAAAAGTGATGAGGAAAGTGATGGCTAACAACTGTTGTTGTTCTAGAAGAAATGGCGTGAGTATATGGTATGGAAATACAGATGTACATTCCCTATCTTACAAAACTGTGGTGTCTGTGACTGTGCTACATGTATTAATAAACTATATTTGTTAATATACAAGAGTTCCTATTGTGCAAGTGTTGTAACTGTGTACATCAGAGTTCCCAACCATAGACTAATTAAATACTGGGCCTGAACCTGGGACAAAGGACCTGTCAATCTTAAAGGTTGTAACTGGAAATTCATAGGTAATCTTAGACTAGGCAACAGAACATTCAGGAACACTGAGGAGAGGTAAGAGGGGGATGTGAAAACTCCAAAGGACACTGCTATGAGAAGTTTTCGCCATCCAGTCTGGAGCAGCCAGCACATCCCCTGAATGGGAACATATAAAGGACACCCAAAGAAGAATAAGCTTTATTCCCAAGTTCCATACATTTGTGTTTTCTTTATACAAAGTTACTGCTTTGAGCAGTAAATACTCACTATTTTATGAATTACTCACTTTGTAAATCAGGCTGTCCACTAAAAGATCATGCTGAATCACATTGGATTTAAGCTGTTCGTAGTACAAAATGTCCTAGAATGAAATAAATATTATTAGTCATTCTTCAGTCTTAGATAAAGCCACTATTTATATTTATATTAGCTGCACAGGAATAATAAAAGCCCTAAATAACATTAGCAGTTTGATTTCTTATAATGTGTTGGCAGAAGAGATTCTTTCAAGTGATGGACTTGAAGAGTGAATGGATAGTGGCCTTACTGGTAAGTTTGGGGAAAGCATTTGCAAGGGGTAATAAGCAAGAAAATAAGAATGTTATGAGAGATGGTGGTGGTTCTTTTATAAGTAATAATATGGGAGTTGGGAGAATACTATGCTCAATTAAATCAAGTCCATAAACAGAGTGGCCAATTAGAATTAATAAATTCTGAAGCCAGCAAAAACACCATACCCATTTCATATTAACTGAAAATAGTTAAAGGGGAAAATATATTTTCATTTGTCTATATTTTCATTTCTATTTTCATTCAGTGTGGCGGCCATTTTTATTTTAATGAAGCCGGGGATATTTAAATCCCGCCTTCATTGACTATGTCGGGTAGTCTAATTTACATGCCTCTGATGACAGAGACATGTAGTCTAGACATACACAAAATGTTCAAGATTAAGAGTCTAATTGTGCTTTTAAAAAAAATCTTTGTACACAAGTTTTAATTTTCGTGCTTAAAGACACTATTTTGTAATAGATGGTATGTCTACACTACAGTGTTATTTCGAAATAACAAGTCTACACACAAAATGCATTTCGAAATAGCATTTTACTATTTCGAAATAGCACGTCCACACTGATAGGACATGGAATCGCATTTAAGGCCGGACGAAACTGGTTCTGGCAGGACATCAGGTCAGGAGTTACTTGTGTGGCTGCTGCCTGAGGCTATCAGAGACCTGTGCTTAAAGGGACCACCCCAGACAGCCGGTTCTAAGACTTTCCTGCTTGCTTGCCTATCTCGCTGAGGGACAGCAAAGCATTTTTTTCTCTGCATGCTCTGGTCGCCCTCACTCAGGACACCAGAGCACTCTGCAGCACGGAGCCTGGACACTCTGGTGCTTCTCCTGGACGTGTTGCTGAGAGCCTGGCAGCACATTCTGCAGTCAATAACCGTCTCCCTAGTGTGCCCCACTTGGGGCTTGTGCCTCATTCCTCCCTCACAACCTTCCACTTACCCCTTCCTAATCCCCCTTCCTGCTGTACAATAAAAGACACGTGTTCATTACAACAAAGCCTCTTTATTGAACAAAACTGGGGTGGGGAGAAAATGAAACTGAGGTGAGATTGGGGAAAGAAGGTGAGAGAAGGAAGGGGGAAACCTGGGAGGAGGGAACTGGCAGGGGGAGGCAAGGGGAGAAGAAGCTCAGGGCTCTGGGTTGGGGGTCTCGCTAGCCCAACTATCTCCCAGCACTGCGGGAGGTGTGGGGAGGAAGAAGCAGGAGGGGGAGGAGGAGAAGGAATGGTAGCTGGGGAGGTAGCAGGGGCTGGAGCAGCAAGAGGCAGCAAGCTCTGCCCCAGGGTCGATGACCACCTGGGGGGGACAGACCGTCCTGACCCCAAGAATGCAGTCCATATTATCAAAATAGAGGTGGGGGTCTGGGTCTGCCCCTAGTTGGGAGCTGCCTCCTGTGGCCCTGGCATACGCCTGACGCAGCTGCTTTATTTTCATGCAAACTTGCACCTGGGTTAGCATGTGGCCTTTGGTGGCCAAACTGGCAGCCATCCGCCCGTATATAGTTGCATTCCTCCGTTTAGTGAGGAGATCATGGACGTTGGTATTGGACTAGGCAGGAAACCACCTTTTTCGGCCCCTGGCAGGCTCCTGGGAGCTGGCAGACTGCTCCTGGGGAGCGGTGGAGGGTTAACTGGGACTGGCTGAGGCCACTGGGTCAGGTACAGCAACTTCTGGCTCTGGGCTGGCAAGCTTGGAGCTGTCACAGGCACTGTGGCCAGAGCCTTTAAGGGCTCCAGGGAGGGGGAGAGGGAGAGGAGTTTTCTTGGTTGTGCCCAGAGTGGCCACTAGGGCACCCTGGGAAGGGCTGGAGTCCCCCTATTTCAAAACAAGCATCTACACAGAGCTTATTTTGAAATAGCAATTTTGAAATTGGTGCTATTCCTTGTGGAATGAGGTTTACCCATTTCAAAATAAGCCCTTTGCTATTTCAATTTAAGTTAGCAAAACCGCTATTTCTATGTAGACACTGGTAAAGTTATTTTGAAATAACAGCTGTTACTGCCAAATAACTTTGCTGTGTAGACATACCCAGACTGTTATCAAATTAAGGAACACTATAATATTAAAAATCACTGTCTCATTTTTTTTGTTACTGCCATTACAAACAATTTATTGTAAAACATAAGGATTTAAGAAAAATATCCCTTTCTTTTCAGTTTATTTTGTACATTTTAAAGCAGGTTGTCTCTCTCATTCTTTCCTCTTGACAGGCTATATCAATGGACCATCTTCTTCTGGCCTGATGCAGACTGCCTCAATTTCCCTTAAATGAACATCTCAATTTCCAAACACTTTTTTTGTTCAGTAATGCGCCTTCTCACAGCATCTAATTTATAAACAAAAGATGAAAAGCAAAACTCAATCCTGGGGCTTCTCTCCTCTCCATGAGTCTGCTTTTTGCAGCTGTTCCTTGCTTTGTCAGGCTATTTTCAGCACTATCTGGTTTCTCTATACAATTCTACCCCTACTTTGAGTCTGGTTTGGTCAAAACCAGTTCAGATAAAATCCTCCTAAGGTTTTTTTCTGTCTATAGTCTTACTACCAAAATCCAGGTATTCCTTCTGGATCCCTACTCCCAATTGCCTTCATATTATGCTCTGGCTTCCATGAGCATCTCCCCTTTTCTGCAGCTTCCTGCTACTCTTTATAATGTAATCACCTGACTTCTGCTCAGCTGTGCTTACTTAGTAATTAGCATTGACTGGCCCCAGAACTCTAGCCAACCTGTTATAGTTCCCAGTCTTACAAGCACTTATGTGTGCACTAAGGACAAAAATAGTCCTGTTTAAATAAGTGGGACTGTGGCGGGCCCCTCTCGCCTGTCATCTTACACCCAAGGCCCTCTGGCCCGAGTCTGTAACACAGTTAAGGTTGGCCCTTTAAGACAAGGCCAAGGCCCTCCGGCCTGAGTCCAAAACACAGTTTAAAGCTGGCCCTTTAAGGCAAGGCCAAGGCCCTCTGACCTGAGTCCAAAACGTGGTTCAGGGTTGTAGCGGGGACGCACCCTAGGTTGGGGGACCTGGGCCCACCCTACTCCACCGGGTCCTGGCCCAGGGCCCTGTGAGCGACCAGGCAGCAGGTCACTCCCTCGGCGGGGCAATTCGGCCGAAACGCGCCGGGGTTCTCTGGGCGGGAGAGGCAGCTCCCGCTCCTGCCCTGGGCCACTTCCTACCTGGCTCCCTGGGGTTCCTTCCCCTGCACTTGCCCAACTTGCTACGAGCTCCGGGCTTGTTGTGAGCTCCAGGGCGGCATCTCCTCGGCGGGTAGTCCCTGGGTCGCACCAACTCGCCTCCGCATCCCCTCCAGCCTCTCCCGGAGTCCCTGGCAACAGCTGTGCAGGAACCCTCTTCACTGGTCCTTCTCCTCCGGCTGTCTCCCCTGACTGAGTCCTTCCCCAGGCTTTTATAGTGGAGCTACAGCCCAGGCATGCTTGGTAGGGCTGCGGGGGAGGGGCCTCTGCAGCCAGGTAACCCTGGCTGGGCCCTGCAGGTTCAGTGCGGGGCTGCCTCGCCCCGTCACAGGGACCATCCATAGCCTCAAGATAAACCTATAAATACTTGTTCTCAGGACTTAGACTTTTTGCTGGTCAGTCGGTTTCTCTTGTCTGTGAGGGTCTATGACAGTGTTCTGTGATATTTTCTATTCTTGGGAGGGTTGAATTTTCTTATGTGAACCACCAATATTGAGGTAGTGTGTTGACATACAATACAAATACAAACCAAACATACAGTGTGGCTACGTCTACACTGGCCCCTTTTCCGAAAGGGGCATGCTAATTTTCAACTTCAGAATAGGGAAATCCGCGGGGGATTTAAATATCCCCCACGGGATTTAAATAAAGATGTCCGCCGCTTTTTTCCGGCTTGGACAATCTTCCCCTGCGGCCTCTGGTGTGGGGAAGTGAAGAGCGTGGGGATTCTTAAAGGCACGGTGCTTTTTTTTTTTGCTCAGCACATCTCCTGGGTTTTTTTGGCCTTGTTCAGGATTTTTGGTGAAAGCATCTGGCAAGCCTATATGGGTGGAAGAGGGGGACAGAGTTTGGGTATGTTATGTGGGGGGCCAGGGTGAGAGGGCAAAGAGTTGGGGCAGGAAAGGGCTGGAGTGCCAGAAGCAGGCTGTGGCCAAGAGCCTTACTTGCCAGCTATCAAACTAGCCTGCCTGCCTGCCAAGCTTAAAATGTTTCCAGCCAGCCTGCCTGGCTATGTACTCTGTGAATAACTGAGCCAAGATGAGGGGGCATGACTCTTCTTAGCTGCCTGTTATTCTAACAAGCAGCTCCCATTGGCTGGTTTCTGCTCCTAAAACTTCCCCCTTCCCTTCCAGTTTTAACACAGAAATGGAATCCTGCAGCTGCATTTCCGCCCGGCGCATGGGGCTGTGGGAGAGCCTGCCTGGGGCTCCCCACTGCCTTTGTGGGCCAGATCTGGTGGCTTGGTGGGCCATATTTTGCCCAGGCCTAGACTAGACAGTTTGCAGTGAAAAGGAATTAGGGGAGAAGAATCAGAAGCAACAAAACTGCAATAATCCTGCAAGGTCATTGTCGTGGTCACACAGAGAGCTGGACCTCTATTCCCTTTTTCTGTTTCCAACTGCACTGCTCAAATGTCAGGTCTTATGCCATTACCTTTACTCAGTTCTCCCTCTCTTAGACTGGGCTGTTAGCTACGGTAGCCTGTGTATTATCAGTGCCTGCCCAGCAGGTCCACTGAGTTTGGCACCTGTGGTTCTTCCCTTTGCAAGTTTGCCAACAGTGGTACATACATTGCTTGTGTTAATAGTAGAACAAAG